CGATCTAAACAAATGGCACAGATCAATTTTAACCTGGAGATCATACCAACACAAAAGACCCAGAGGCAGACCTCCTATGAGATGGACAGATGATCTGAAAAGGACTGCCGGGAAAAATTGGCTACAAGTAGCGTACAATAAAAAACAATGGAAAGGAAGACTTGAAGAGGCTTATGTTCAGATGTGGAGTGGACGTGAATGGCTAGACGAAGAAGAAGTCCGATACACAAGGAAATCAGCTGAAATGGCGTGAACATATACATAAAAGAAACAAGAATCGACCAACACAACAAAAAATGAGCAACTTATGAAGAAAAAATACAATAATAATAATAAATAAAGAGGAAAATGAAAGAAAGAAAAGGAAAGTAGCGGAATAAAAGAACTTTAGTAAAGAAACAGGGACAAGAATTAGTTGACAAATAAGGAAATACCTACAAAAACTTTGCTGAAAAATCAAAGTAGGATAAAAATTAGACACCGGAAGATGACGTAAGATATTATAAACCATAAATAATAAAAATAAACTATTTGCTCAATCTTTTATAATAGATAAAATCCTAAATTACACTTAAACAATCATCCTTTCGTAATAGAAAACGATGCAATCCTAACAGTATTTCCAAATTTCAGCGTCGATTTGTACCTGTATCGAAAAAATAATCAATTTTATTCCCGAACACCATATGACACCGCAAAACAATAACGTAACCGATAAGATATTTGACGCAAGCTCACAGGTGAGTGCTCCTCGGCGGTGTTGCCAAGTGAGTATTATGTTTGGAACGATTTATTACATTATATCATTTTTGAGTTTTTTGAAGATTGACAGCATTTTACTAAACAAAATTGTGCCGATATGAGAAGGATAACACTAAATCATACAAATGAGGCAAGACAAGTTGAGAACTAAATTTCATTTATAATGTCTTTCATAATGTTTGATAGACGTCCTCACCACATACGACAAAAATTATTTTACTTCTATTTCGTGCTAAATATTTGCTGGGGTACGTAAAGGCACCACATCACCGTAACTGTCATTTTTTATTATGTAGATTATTATGTAATTACTTTTTGTTTTTGTAGAAAAATGGCTAGTGGGTCATCAAAAAAAGTATCCTACATTAATCCCAATTTTGAGGAAACTGTTATGCAGCGGTTTAGCGATTTAGGTAGCTGTACAGAAGAGGAAACAAATAATGAAGCAGAATTATACGACTCTAAGTCCGATACAGAGCAAAGCGAAGGAATCAATGACAATGAAGGATATAACGGTGTTGGAACAGTCTTCTTTTAAAAGTAGGAAAGACGAACAAGCAACTAATGAACAAAGAGTCTTTTATGGGAGGAACAGGTACAAATGGGCAAAGGAACCTGCTCAAAGAACTCTTATAAAAACTCTTTTTGTCAATCTACTCAGGCAATTTGCTTGTGTCAAAGGTAGTGCTTTGTAAAATCCAAAATTACTAGCTTTTTGGCAGTAAATCTTTACAGGATAAATGAAAAACTGACACTTGCAAGAATAAAATACAAGGACCATCAAAACACTCAATTAGTTGATGTTGACATGCTAGAACTAAAAGTGTTCTGTGGCATTTTGTTTTTCATATACGCGTATATTTATTCTAGAAGAGGTAGTGATGGTAGAAAAAACCACAGAATATAATGTACCTTTACATATGGCATTTATCGACTTTCACAAGGCTTTCGATAGTATTGAGACTTGGTCCTTTTTGTCAGCCGTGAAGAATGCTCGAATAGACTGACGGTACACTACACTCATTAAAAACATTTATGAACAGGCCATATTCCACATCAAAATCAATGAAGACGAAAAAAACTGAAAAAATGCGCCTTGATAAAGGTATTAGACAAGGTGATACTATTTCACCAAAACTTTTTACCTTAGCATTGGAAAATGTATCTATTCAAACAGCTTGACTGGGAGGAAAAAGGTCTAAACATTGATGGTGTACGTTTGAGTCATTTGAGGTTTGCGGATGACATAGTATTATTTAGTACAGATATCAAGGAACTGGAGCAAATGTTGAAGGAATTAAACCAGAAGTCAAATAAAATAGGTCTCAAAATGAACCTTCAGAAAACAAAAATAATGAGTAATTTACAAACTAATCTTGTTATTGACAACGTCAGTCTTGAAAATGTAGACCACTATATATATCTTGGACATACCATTAAAATCGGCAAAGAAAATCAAATAGCCGAAATAAAAAGACGCATACAACTGTCTTGGGGAGCTTTCGGCAAATTAAGCTTTATTTTGAAGAATAAAGATATACCAATGTGTCTAAAACGTAGAGTTTATGACAAATGTATCTTGCCTGTAACTACATATGGACTGGAGACCATGACCTTCACAAAGAAAACCTTAGAGCAGCTCAGTACAACTCAAAGAGCAATGAAGAGGGCCATGCTAGGGATTAGTTTGAGAGACAGGATTCGAAATAACGTCATTCGTGAAAGAACAAAAATTACTGATGTCTCAGAACGTATTGCAAGGCTCGAGTGGCAATGGGTCGGACACGTTGCCCGAGATAATCCCGAAAAATGGACACAAAGATTAACAAACTGGAGACTAAGAGAGAACAGGCGAGGAGTAGGCAGACCGCAGAAGAGGTGGACAGACGATATCGAACAAGTCGCGGGCAAGCAGTGGATGAGAATTGCCAAAAGTAGAAATCGATGGAGGCAAATGGAAGAGGCCTATGTCCAGCAGTGGACAAACACAGGCTGAAGAAGAAGAAGAAGTAATGGTCAAGTACTAATAACAGATGGAAAGCAATCAAATGATATATAAACCGATCTATGGTTCTAATCGAAATATAACTGCAGATAACTGGTTCAGTACCATAATAAAAATAAAAGGAAAATATCTATCGAATTCCTGCCTCAAAACTTTTTTTTCTTCTTTTCTTTTTCTTCCCCTTTATAAGCAATTCTGCTTGTTCATTGGTGGATTAATACCTCTGTTAAAGGTTGTCACTCCATCTTTTGCACGGTCATCCGATACTTCTACTGCCGATTTGTGACTTATCTCTTGCTATTTTGACCACACTTGTCTCACCCATTCTGCTTAGCTGGTTATTCCATCCTTTTTTCTATTTTGTGTCCATTCATTTATACACTGTATGTTACATTTTCTTCTAATGTCTTCACTTCTCTTTCGATCTCTTAGCGCATTTCCTGTACCGACACATACAGGCACACCAAAATTGTCAACCATCTTTAATGTTCCCCAAAAACATATAAAATGGTCACCTTACAGTGAATTTCGTCACATGGTATCATCAATTAAATACTCCATCAACCAAGAAGAGACCCTTCAGCTTCCAAGTACTATATGTAAGATGATGTACCAATAATTATCCCAAAAATTGATAATAAGACTTCTTATTAAGGTGCCTTCTCCATTACTAAAGGCTGGCTATAACTACAGCAAATTGCTCTCTATCTTGAGCTGTTCGTAGTATCGAATGTGTGTCCATGCCTGTTCAGTCTCTTAATATCATATTAAGAGTAAATGAGGAAAATTTCTAGCGATTACACCAAACTCGCTCTCGTCGAAAGGAAAAGAGATGCTAAATACCTGCGAATCATAATGGATCAAGCTTTAAAAAACATGTAGACACAACATTACAAAAAGCAAACATGGCTAAAGCGTCAATAAGAGGACTTACATGCAGAAAAAGTAAATTATAAATAAAAACAAGCGGTACACAACAGCAGCCTGCGGGAAGCCCAAATGTATCCAGATACATTACTGAACGTTTCCTGGTCAGAGAACTGCAGCAAGTAAGAGTGATCGACAAGATGATCAACATAGCCAGGATTAAGTTAGCTGAACTAGAAAACCATCCAAACCAGATATAGCGAGAAATAATTAAGTATGATGCGTTCCATTAATGAAAGCACAAATGTCTAAAACAACAGATAATTGCAAATATGTAAAAAGCAGATAACTTTGTAGCTCTGTTAACATATATATTCATCAGTTCTTATCTATCTTCGGTTCTAGCTCTTACTGACGAGTTCCTAAATAAGAGGAAACACCTCATGAAATGCAATAAACATATGAAAGGATTTTAGCCTCATCTCTCTGGAGATCATCTACAAATCTCAGATGGTTAACCACTTGCCCAGTTATATAGTCTTACTTGTCAATATGATTTGCCGTTTAGCAGCTCGAAATAGATCAGTTGACGTTAGACCAGTTCATTTCCTAAGATTGGCCAGCCAGGATATACGTCTACGTCCAGAGCCTCTCTTACCTTCAATCTTGCCTTATAAAATCAACTGTAGGAGTAGGTATTTATTATTACGCATTATGTGACCGAAGGCTTCAGCTTTCTACTCCATAGAGGAGAACACTATAGATGTAAAATCTAAGAATTCTTGTGCGTATATTGATACTTAAAGATAAGTTTAAGATAATCTTCCTAAGGCTGTTGAAAGAGCTTCTGTCTTTTTCAATACGATTTTTGATTTTGTAGTTGTGATATCAAGTATCCTTAATATTGCAGCCCAAATAGCATATATTTTCTACTCTTTCTAACGTTACATCGCCTATTATAATTTGGGCGTTTAGGTTGGTGTTCTTACTTACTAATGATTATTATTTTTGTCTTCTTTCAATTTAATTTTAGACCGTATTTGTTACATGTTTCTATATCGTTATTCATCATCCTTTGGAGCCTCTACACACTATCTGCCAGCAACACACCCACTTCAAATTAATATTATAATATATATTAAATAAAAATAATCGTGTGACTTTCCATTTTCTTGCTCACCCCAATACACGCCTCTGCATAGTCGGCAAAAGCCTAAACACGCGCATCACTGCAGGAATGTCTATTAGACGTCGTTTCTAGGTAACAAATAAACAGTAATTCCATTAAACAGAAAGAAATAGTACATTCCTTAGTTTTCCCGAATTAGACTTCAGAAATAAAGACAAGAAAAATTTAACAAGTAAAATGAATCAAGGCAGAGGAGCAAATTCAAGCAATGACAAGGAAATGCTTACTATGGCCGAAGAAGAGCTGGCTAGACTACACAGACAGGTAATAAAGACAGTAAACATACAGAATGTATGAATTACAAGAACTGCTCTTTTTAAATTTACAATAATATAATATTTTATTATAAAGAGATAGTTCAGAAACTATTTTCTTGTGTCAGTTTTATCTTATACAGTGCTTTTCAGGTAAAATTATCCACCTTAAATAATTTTTGAACTTCTATTTTTTTGGAAAAACGCAAAAACACGTCAATTAATATTTGAAGAGGGAGTCATTATATCATATTTAAGGTTGCTGGAAAATGCATCCTCTCACCCCCGTGTTATCCCTTAATTTTTTTAAAACTACTTCCCCCTTTTTTTATTTTCTATTTAGCTTCTCTTTTTTGTATTGATTTCAAAAATGTATAATACCTTTGGCTTGAAGTGATTAGTTTATGAGATGAGATAGACAATTTTTCTTTTAACAAGAAACCAAACCGTCTACGAAGACGGTTGCGTTTTGATTTAATTTGAGTCTCTTACCACTTCCTAACACGTGTTTCTGGGTCTGCCCGCCATCAGAGAGAGTTTGTAAGAAGACTCAAACCAAAAACCAAATCAAAACGCGCCGATAACTCTGGTAATTGTTTTTCCTATAATTGCTACTAGAGACCTCTAGTGAGAAAAGACGAAGTTAAATGTATCGATGGAAATTAAAGTAAACTGTATACCCAAGCTTAATCAAGCCATTCAGAGCGATTCTGGGAATATTTATATTCCGCTATGCAACAACAATTTACCCATATAAATTACCATTCCTGTCAGGAATTTACACTCATGAGTTATTCAATCTTATGACATCTTTTCCTTCCAATAAAACATAGAGCTTACAACAATGAACTAAGAATAAAAACACTCTAATACACTAAAATAAAAACTAATAACAATACTGATTGCAAAATGTACATCTCGAAATGCTTGTAATACAAACACTTATTGCACATTATACCAAATTCTGAACACCTTTGGAACTCATGAGTACGACTTCATTTTCTACACTGATTACTTTTCCTTGAGTTTTCCTCCTGTTCCCATCTTTTGCTTCTTGCAGTATTAAAGTTGTTATTTGAACCTTTTCCCCTTGCTATTTGAGTACCATTTTCCCCTTTTACAGAATAAATATTGTTTGACTTTACTGAACTTCTTTAAACTGGGTTTTTGAAATTTCATATGCTATAAACATGTCTATTGCCTTTTGTAAGGTTAACTTATGATTCTGCAACATTTTTTGTTGTAGATATTAATTTATTGTTCCTAAAACTAGCCTACCCCTGATCATTGAGTCTAGAACATCTCCAAATTCACAATTTTTTGCCAATTTACTAAGTCAGTTAAGTAAGTATTAAATAGCTCCCCTTTCTCTTGTTTTCTATTGTAGAATTAAAATCTTTCGTAGATCACATTCTTTTTAGGGGTGAAGTAATTCTCTAATTCACTCAATACTGTATCATATGATTTTCTCTGTGCATTCATTCAGTTTAAGGCGTTACACATATCAAGTTCTTCATCGCCCAAAAAATTTAACGGTAGAGCAATTTTTACTAGGTCTTCCTTTTCGGCCTTGCCACTGGCCAAAAGGTTAATTTTAAGTGACCGAAAGTTTTCAGCCACGTTCCCTTCAAATGGTAATGGTTGAGGTATTCTAAACTCATATTGTTCTAATTCTAACTACTTTGTGTTTCCATTTATTTTGGAAGCAGCAAGTTTCATCAACCACAAGACTGCGCCATGTAATAATTTTTAATACGGACTGTTGTACATATTTATTATTATTACTTTCAATAATACAGTATAATGATAACCTATTCCAAAGTGCTTAACCTCTATTTCTGCCATAAGACCTCGTGCCGCCTGTTCCATGTCATAGTCAGGACTTTACATTTATGAGCTATTCGGCCTCATGACAATGGTTCTTCTTCTGCTTTAAGTTCCATCTTCTATCGAAGGTTGGAAATCATCATGGCTATGCGGACTCTGTTGACTGCCGCTCTAAAAAGTTCTGCACTACTGCATTCATGACAATGGTGGTCACCAACATTTATCACGGATAGGCACATCATAGGTGTCAAGAGTTTCAACACATACCCAGACGAAAGGAAGATATACAGAGGTTGTTGGTTGAAGAAAAAGTAAATGATTAAAGAACTCGACAAAGATCGCCAATTCGATGGTCCGACTAAATAAATAACACCACTAGTTATTATCTCTCTCACTTTCTCTGACGCAACACATCTCACACAGGAGAAAAAAGAGTCGGTAGCAACCGAAGGTGAATACCATAACGTCACCACATTCTTACAAAGAATAAAGGAAAAAGAAGGAGGAGCCAATATTGTACCTATGGTTGTTCCCTTTATTAACTTGAAGATGTTCTGCACTATGAATTATTGTGTCCCACTCTTGCGTTAAGAATATTAAGAAGTACTATTTTTTATTTCTCTGTATTCTGTTCTATAATGTCTAAAAGACTATTATGGAAACTCATAGTTTTCATACCACAAAAATGTTGTTTTCAGCTTCGTATTATGGATGAAGATCGCATAGCTTTCTTGGAAGAAACCGGCACAAAACTAAAAAAACAAAGAAAAATAATGCAGACTCTGAAAAGAGAAAGAGAAAAAATATCGGAAGAGATCAACGTAGCTACATGTCTAAACCAGAAAAGGAATGACGAGAAATTAGTTAGCAGGATGAAAAAACTGGTAGAAGATTACGAGAAGTACGACAGTATGGTAAAAAACAGAGAAGGAGCAGCTGAAAGAGTTGGAAGTTCAAATTAAAAAGGTAAGTGATTGCTTAATATCAAATCAACTAATAAGTGCCCGATCTAGCTAATGAATCAACAGGTTTTAGAAATCATTCATGAACATAGTGTAGTTAATTAAGAGCTACACACGCTCAAGAGTCAACTGGATATTTTTTCGTTATTTTTTTCTTTGTGACACGAATTCAAATCATTTCAAACAAGCCAAGTTCTACCAGAAAGTATAAGGTTCATTAAAATCTTCTATTTTCATCATTCTCTATCATGACTATCATGAGATTTTATTAAAAGCTACAAATATTGAAGTGAAGCTTCTATACTGGCATTGAATTAATTTTTTCCATAGTAAAATGTTGATGCGAGCGTCGCAGAAGAAGCGCCACGAAACAAAATGGAGGTCCGTAGTTTGCAGTCACAGTAAACAGTTGGAAGAGTCCATTTACGTGACGAGGAGAGTCCATGATCCAACATGTAAATTTCAGTTTTAATAAAATCTATAAAAAAATAATAAACAAATAATAAAATTGCTTTATTCAGTTTTAAAAATATTTAAATTAAAAAAAAAACAAATTAGGATGTCAACAGTACCGTCTACTGTACCACTTTTTGTATTTCAGATGGACGCTGATATTCAACATCTACGTCCCAAAGCAATTATAACTGACTACGACTACGAGAATCGATTGAGAAGTGGGAATCACTCGATAAAAATTTTAAAAGACAGACTGGAAAATGCCGTGAAAAAGTTTTGTGCCATACTGACCGAAAATAAGAAAATGAGAGAAGAAATAGATCACTTGCTTAAAGAAAGGTAATACTTGTGTATCAGTTTTCTTATTACTGTTCACATTAAGAAGTTCATTCGTTAATTTTTAAATCGAAACGTTACATAAAAATATAAATAACATCGTCTTCTTGACATTTTTATTAGAGAGCTAGTTATTGAGGTCTCAGAATAATAAACAATCAGAATGTCCACTCTCAGTTGCCGCCTTTGAAGTTTTTCAGCACGGGCGCCATGATTTAGAAGGAAACACCATAATACAGAGATATGATTTGTGAGGTTATGTAATTGTTTATATTTATGTTTAATTATATTATATTTATGTTATTATATTTAACAATGTTAATATAATTGTATAGTATGTCTATGATTGCCGTAAGTCAATTAAACCGGGTTAATTTTTCTATGCACACCACATAAACAACACTGGTTCCCTCTAAAACATGGCGGAACGTCTGCGCGTACTTAATTTTTCATGGAGAGTGGGCATTCTGATTGTTTATTATTCTGTGTTGAGATAATAAATATTGTTTTCAGGACCCGTTACAACATAATCTGGGAGTCCCTGTTAAAGGACATGCAGTCAAGAAAGAAATATATGGTAGAGTTGATAGAACAAGCAACAGTAGCCTTTGATCAAAGGGAGGAATGGTGTTCCAAGTTAGCTGCGTTAAAAAAGAGGGCCCAAAGCGACTATTTGGCTCACACAGAAGTAAATACTATATAGTATAATTACAGATATATACACAAGTTGATTTAGACTAGAGAAAATCTGCTTTTTCTTTTTTAATACTTCTTACAACCTCCAGGGATATCAAAGGCACACCGTGTTTTCCAGTTTTTGGATACTTCTTTCATTACTAAATATATTCTGCGTTTTCTCTCCTTGATTTATTTCCGGTCTTCAGTATCTTCAGTGGTTCATAACAATTTATATGGCTACATTTTTTTTTCATCATTTCATTGCAGATATGCTCAAACGTTTATACTGTTTCTAATAGATATATTTACATGTGTCTTCGCATTATTTTCAGGTGTCTGTCGTCTATTGTTAGTCTATTGGAATCATTTAAGATGTGGTGCTATACAAGGATTTTGAATATACCATGGATCCAACGAGTTACAAATGCAGAAGTGTTAAGAAGGCTACAACAGGATTGCGAGATCATAAAGCACATCAAAACAAGAAAGCTGGAATATTTAGGCCACATTACCAGAGGTGCGAAATATGAGATATTAAGGCTCATAATGCAAGGTACAAGATCCATAGGAAGACGAAGAATTTTCTGACTAAGAAACCTAATAGAGTGGTATAGTTACAGATCAGTAGATCTTTTAGATCTACTCTGGCACAACAGCTGCCTTACTTACTTTATCGTGTCCGGACATGTCATTCATAAAATTTCGGCCCAGTATCGGGCTACGTCGGTTCCATCTTTGTTGGCGAGCCACAAATCTTCAAGGGTACATCGATGAGGACAGTTTCTGCATATAAGAAGATGTTCCATATTCTGTGTTTCTCCACAGTAACAGTAGTTCACTTTGGTGAATCATCTTGGTCTATTTTTACCCATTTTGCCATGTTTGATTTTACTGTAGCAACCCCCCTTCTTATCCTATTCAAGGTTTTTCACGTTTTAAAGTCTAGGGTCTGGCCGGTCCATTGAACCTGGGGAAGTGGAAAATACTCAGGCGGTTCATCCTGCACTGTTCCAAGGAAGCTTTTCCTAGATTTTAGTCGCTTTCGTGATGTTCGAGCTTTGTATAGAGCATGCCGATCGTCCGCTATGTGTTTTGCAGCGTCTCTGCGTGTTGAGGGTTCTGCAAAACCCGCTGCTCTATATAGATTTGAAAGTGGCGTTGGTTTCATGCACTCCGTTACTATCCTGCATATAGAGCAGCTGCCAATAAGGTACGGATAGCTGTGATGATAGCCAACCTCCGTTAGGACAAGGAACTACAGAAGAAGAAGTCGTCCATTGTCCATTATTTTATAATCAAGATTTTTTCTCTCAAAGAAGACCATATTAGACACTAGATGGAGTGCCAATCACAAAGATGTGAAACCTATTTTAAAACATTTTGATAAATTAGTTCAAGTTACAAAAAAATTGTGCCACGCCCAGCAAAATATTAACATACTGAGCTCTGCCGAAATGTTACTCTCGAACATTTGTGACTACAAATTTCTTGGATTTCTTCATTTATGGTGGTACATTTTCCAAGAAATAAACAGTGCACAGAGGTATTTGCAGACGGACGGTTTAAATCTTGAAAACATCGTAATAAAGCTCTAAAGTTTTAAAGTCCTTTTGGAAGGCAGTCGATATTAGTTGTTCACGAAGGCTTTCCAGTTTGCTTCGGCAAAATGTGATGGAATGTGAATCTCCCTTGAAAAAAAGTAGAAGACTTTTAAAAAAGATAATGCCTGGAGAAACAGCCGAAGTTGCCAGACTATCATGAAAAATCAAACTAAAATCAAACTAAAAGATATTTGCTTGAATTTTTAGACAAGCTATACCAAGAGCTTGCTACTAGAATGCAAAGAATGGAGACTATTCGACACAGAACTTTGTGCTTCAGCAGAGATATTTTGTGAATCGTTCGAATAATTCGATAAACAAGAAATTGTTAATGAAATCAGAGCAAAAGAGGGCAGAAATTAAATTACATTGAAGACAGCAGAGTTTATTTTCGATATCGACCTAAAGGAATCTGTTCCAAATGTCTTTGTTAATATAAACCTGCTTTTAACAGTATGTGTCTCTATTGCTTCTAATAAAAGGAGTTGTTCAAAATTGAAAATCACAAAAGCTATCTACGATCAACGTTGAGGCAGACCCGTCTAAATAGTTTGGCAATGCTCTCGGTTGAGCGTGAAGTAGCCAATATCATCAACTTCAATAATGTAATCAAACAATTTTCGGAAATAAAAAAAAAAGAAAAAAAATGTTTGTAAGTAAAAACTCTGAAATAAATTAAAATATGAGTATTAACAAAATAATCTTGTGTTATCACTGTTAACCTTTGCTTTAATGTTTGTATTGTAAATAAATCCAAACCAGATTAATTCAATTAAAACTCATTTTTAGCATAGCATAGGTATGAATTTAATTACATTTTAACTTTAAATTTCTAATAAGTTTTATGTAGGTAGTTTTCATATGGAAGTAAGCCGTCTTAGCTTTTTCTTGTATTGTGGTGGGGAGGGTTTCTTCGCTTACTTCCGCCCCGGGCCTCCTGAATTGTAGTTACGTCATTGACACTCGTTTTCTCCTTTACAATATTTATTTCTTTCTTATTATTGTTATTCTTCTCTCTTTTATTCGCGTTGTCCTGATGACTTTGTTATATCTGTCTTCTACTCTTTTTATTATCTGTCGCGGGATTTGTAGATATGTTATTTTCCAATCACTAGTCTAATTGCCTTAATACCTTATTTAATGATTAGAAATAGTTTTTTTGTGCAATGTGTATCCACTGTTTACATGTAAAAACCTAATTGAACTAGCATTAAGTTTTCTCAATAAAAATTTTACTTGTACAATACAAATACAAATTGATGTATATTGTTTCTCCATACTTTTATTCTATTTTATTTTAGGAAATGCGGGAAATCCAGAGAAAACTCGACCACGACTTCACGTTACGGGAGTTTTTGAGTACCAAGGGCCAGAAAAGGATTCTAAAAGATTTGGAAGAGAAGGAAAGGAAAAAGAAGGAGATACAAATTCAAAACTTGGAGAATCGACTGATAATGTTGGAGGATACTATGAAACAAATACAGGTAAGAAATATTTTACTCAATTTTAGCAATTCTACTAAAAGTTCTCTCATTTATACTTTTATTTTTTTATTCATTGGGTAGATATCATAATAAAACTGTAGAAATTTATCATGACTCGGGTAAAATGAATTGAAGACTATGATGTTCTTTTTGAGCATAAGGACAGTCATAGTGAAATACCAAATGCCAGTGCATCCGCCAAGTTTTTCACAAAGTTTGCTCAAGTTGAAGTCAGTATGCATGTCCATCATCAAACTTTTTTTCATTTTCTGGTGAATTGAGTTATGATTGAGGAGAATGAATCCTCGTATGATGGATCTTCTTACGAGGATGAATGCTCTTATCAAGATATGAATTCTTTTGCTACCACAAAAGCTCTAAAAGACAATCCCCATTTTCTCCCGTTTGAATAACAAGATAGTAGCCGTGCCAACCAGAGAATACTTTCTAATAATAGCTATCGGGGTATTCAGAGTAGCTGAATCTATTTACTTCCGCAGATACATGATGCATTGATTTGTTGTAGACAATTATTGTTGCAGTTGATAGATACAGAGTAACTCTAGCTATTGAATCCCTTTGTTTGCATTATTTGCATTATTTTAGACAGAATTTTGTTCTTATATTCACTTTCGACAAGGTAACACTCTTCTTTTTCTTCTCGTAGCACTACAATCCAAGATGGATCTTGGCTGACTGCACAACTAACTTGCTTTCATCTTGAACGGTCGTCCATAATAGGTGGGTCAGTGGGTAGCCCCATTGTTCTTAGATCTGACCATATATTGTCTCTCCATCGCATTCGTGGACGTCCTAAGGGCCTTCTTCCTGTGGGGCTTATTAACTTGGCAAGGCGGTTATTTGGGAGTCTATGGACATGACCAGCCCATCTTGGAAATTAAATCCCAACTCTTTCACTAATCTTTGATATTCGTGTTAGGCTTTTAGATTTAATAGTATTGTGGAGGATGTATATACATCTGTTTGCTGCCTGAATTCTTCCTTTAATTTCTTCCGCGATATCGTTATCTGCAGTAATTGTTGCTCCGAGATATTTAAAACTCTTTACTCTTTCAAAGTTATATGGATCTATTGTACATGTATTTGGTTTTCTCTTCGTTTACCCTCAACCCAGTTTTATTTGCCTCTACCTCCAATTTATTAAAAGTCTCCTTTACATTGGTGACTGTGTTTCGCACAATGTCAATGTCATCTGCATATGCTAGTAGTAATTTTGGTCCATTTACTGTCAGTAATTATGTTTTAAGTTGTGCTGCTCTTACTACTTTGTCCAGGATGATATTAAAAAGGAAAGGTGACAGCGCATCTCCTTGTTTCACGCCACTACTTATTTTGAAAGATTCTGAGAGTTTGTTACCTATCCGTACTCTGGATCTCAGATATAAGATAGCACTCAGGAGTTTCTAATTGATTGTGATCATTTTCAAAATATTGCTGAATATATTCATGTTTTGCGCTTTCAAAAATACTACTGTATCGATAGATCAAAGGTTTCGAAAATTTCGGTCTTTTAAGTGGTTCAACAGTTACTGTTTCTTTTAGCTCAACATTTTCTGTTATTTAAACTTCTAAATCTGAAGATAGAATAAAATTTAATTAAAGAGTTAATTCATTTCGGTAGTCAAATTTGATTATTGTTTGGTGTAAGCTTTGTTGTAAATTTTCATCAACTTTTAATATCTCAAAAGAAGTGTGTTTTTCATCCAAATTTAACAAATTCTTGGCCTTGTTTCGAAAGACCATCGATGTTAAGATCTTCTTAAATCAGTATATTTTCAACGGAAAACCTATTTTGCATATTATTGAGACTTTAAAAGATCTCTTTTGTTTGCTCTAGCTAAACATTTTGATATCTATAAAGACCTGAAATAACCATGTCATCGACAGTAGTAAAAGATATTTCGAAGTAACCAAATGAGGTACTTAGATTCTCGCTTTGGCCTGATTTCGCGAGAAAGAATATTGTTGGTTGATGTAGCCAACATCAGGACACACCATCAGCTTCAGAGTTAGGAGTTTAATCTGAGTATTTACTGGAAAAAGGCCTTTCGACACACGTAAATCCAGAGATTCGGTAGAAATTATATAGTTAATTGGCAGATTGGAAATTATTCAAAATTAGGAAAATCGTATATCAATGGATACATAGAATGAAGAGTTCAAATATCGACTTCCGGTCAAGTTGGGTGAAAACCTAGGACTTACGAAGTCCAATTGCTTGTTTTTATATTGAAATTTCTATACAGTTTTTAAGGAGTTTGGATAAAATTGGCTAGCACAATATTTGTCAAATTAGACTATATATAGAAAATTATTTATATTTTTCATAGTGCTTTCTTAATTATTTCTCCTACGTCATTTCCTTCCCTCTTTCCTCTTTCGACTTTTCCATATACTCTTCGCTCTTGCTTCTTCACGGCATTTAACAATTCCTATACATAAAATATGTTGAATTAATTTACGTTTCAGAAATTTTGTGATGAAAAAGACGTCCACAAAATGGCTTCTCAGTATCTCAAGCAAGAAGAGGAAAATTTTGCGTTATTTAACTACGTGAACGAACTTAACCATGAGATCGAAATGTTGGAGCAGTCATTGGAGGAGATTCAAACTAAAATAGGTATGAAATATTGTTCTTTGGTAGTTTTTTCTTCTTCTTCTTACGGTGCCTTATCCTTAAGGACGTTGGCCATTACATTTGCCCATTTAATCTTATTTGTAGCAGCCCTGAATATTTCTATGGAGGTCATGTTCGTCCATTGCCGTAGATTTTTAAGCCAAGAGTTGCGTCTTCTTCCTGGTCCTCTTTTGCTATTGACTTTGCCTTCGATTATAAGTTGAAGCAGTTCATACTTTTGATTTCTTATGATGTGACCAAAATATTGTGTTTTCCGTTCTTTTATTATAAGTATAAGCTCTCTTTCCTTATTCATCCTCCGCAAGACTTCCGCATTTGTCGTATGGCTCATGTAGGATATTCTGAGCATTTTACGGTAACACCAGAGTTCAAATGCTTGGATTCTTTTTTGTGTTGCTTCTGTCATTGTCCAGGCTTCAACACCATAGAGCAAGGTGGAGAAAACATAGCACTTAAGTATTTTAGTTTTCAATGAGATGCCCAACTGGCGGTTGCATAGAACTTTTTGCATTTTGTAAAATATTGTACATGCCCTTTTCTAGGCGTATTCTTATCTCTAGTGAGTGGTCCCAAGTTTTATCAAGATTACTTCCAAGGTACGTTGTTCTTGTTACTCTTTCCAGATCTGTTCCGTCGACATTGACCTTCACCCTTCTGTTTTTGTGCTTGCTGATGACCATCGTTTTTGTCTTCTTTGTATTCAATTTCATTCCAAATTCTCTACAGGCTGTCGTTACTCGGTCCATTAAGCGTTGTAGGGCTTCAGCATTACCTGCCAGTATGACAGTGTCATCAGCATATCGCAGGTTATTTATACATTGCCCGTTTACTTATTTTTAACTTTTCTTTATCGGTGTTCTTAGTAGAACGCCTTGTTTTTGAAGTCATTGACAAATGTTGTTTTAGATGAACAAATTGAAATCAGCCAGCTAAAAGAAAAAGAGCGACAGCATAATTTGGAATATTTGAGAGCACAGTTGGAGACTGTTACTCGAGAGGTATATAAAAACGTTATTTTGTCTATATTAAATAATTTTAGTATCCTTTCAGACACTAAAAAATGAAGAAAATGTCAAAAATTCAGAGAATAAGGTAAAAGCCATACTGGAAGGCATCGAAGACATTTTCGATTTGTTGTTGTGTGATAGAGGCCCCATTTTGGGATTGCTAGGTAAGTATTATGTTATTTATGATACAATACGTGACAAAAATAAAAAAATATATTCATGTTTGATGACTCCTTTCGTTATGAGAGGCTTGGCATAAGGTATGTTCAAGTCGTTATGTAGCATTCGTTTGAACACGAGCCAAGAAGTCTAAATGATTTATTGGCAATACCAAACATTTTAATTCTTCTTGTCGTCTTTCATCGTTCATTTTCATCTTCTCCAATTGTTAGCTCTTCTCATATAACAGTTTTCTAAATAACTTCACAATTGTTGAAGACTTTATAGACTCCCACGCAGATGTGACTGCAGTGCAGAATAGTAAATGACTTTCAGAACTCTTGTAAGTCATATACCTCTTCTTCATTTTTTAAGCGAAGGAACTTTGTACTGTAGTTTCTCTATAGCATTACTGCATGACATAATCGTCATTCGCACATAATTACGTTCACTTGCAAAAGCATCTTCTGAGTTGGAAGACATTTCCAGAAGAGCCTCAATTCGGCTGCTTTATGAATTTGTTAGTGACCCTGATCTTTTGATAAAAGAAACTCTTTTAACTCACTTCTAAATTATTTAGCTCCCTGTTGGTCACCCCAGAGCTTATCTGCATGAAGCCCTATCTCCTTCATCACATGGGATTACTTAAAGGGAGTCAATTATCTAGTTGATGCATCAAATTTTCCATCTAAAGATACGTTTTTACTGGAGCGTCTGCTAAGCAATTATCGCAAGCGAAGTGTTTTTACTGAAGCGATGCTTTGATTAGTGAGTTGTCCGTTATCTAGTGAACAAGAGGTTTACTGCAGCGATGAGCGTATGTAAATTAAAACAATTATTGTTGAAATACCTGCTAATAGAAGAATTCGAGGTTGAAGAAATTTTATGTGTTCCTTAGAAATGTGTATTCCAAGATCAGAAAAAGATACAATATTTAAAAGAAGACAAGATGAAGAATACCTTAAAACTTTGATAAACAACCACTTATTAGGCGATAATGTTAAGTTTCCACAGTTCTTTCGTTTGAATAAACCTCAGTTTGATTTTGTGTTAAGTTTAGTAAAACAGGATATGAAAAAGTCGTCTACAAACTGTATTCCATATCCAGTGTCTCCAGAAGAGAATCTTTCAAATAAAAAACTCTCAAAATCACATACATAAGCCACTATAGTCGCTCAGCGTTTGCGACTGTGTTTGCTCTCGGACCAGTCGCCAACGATCGACGCTACCAGCTCCAGCGGCAGACGCTTCAGTTAAAACGGCGCCGCAACATACCACACAAGCAATACACCGCGATCATCGCTCATCGACCATCGTTCCGCGATGATCGCAACAGATGCTATAGTAAAAACGTACCTTTATAGTGGTACATCGTATAATCTCATATTAAAAAATATGCGACTGTAATTTGGATTGGTTTAAAAGATCTTGTATGATTTGCATGGTTTAAGTTGTTTAATTGACAGATACCGATAAAATGAATAACAATGATATTTAAGTAAAATTCTCTAAGAAGAGGAGGAAGAAGTAGAATGTCTACAACTCGAATTATTAGAAAAAGATTGATTAAACTTCTTACACCGATATCTCATCCTCATTTGCATTAAATTTCGCTATTTTTTTTAAACGACTGCGATTTGACTAGTTCACCTAGTAGTCGAATCGCAACTGCTGCGGTTTGATCGTAGCGGTCTGCGACAGAGCAGCGTCAACCAAAACGTATATGCGTAAATTGTATGCAGCCGATGCCACGACTGTAGTCGCAGCTGCAATTGCGACTCAATCGCAGTAGCGAGCCGCATCAAGGAAACCGTTCCTAAGCAACATAATAAGAAAACTGTTTTGCTTTTCAAGCAATTATTATTCTGTGGATCATTCGCTCGCGGATGAATAGCAATTGATTATTTAGGTTAGTAATAAAAACAAAGCTTAAAAACTTCGTTGGTATTTCAGGTACTGATTCTTCGATGAATCTTTTTAACGTGAAGATATATTTGGGTACCATCGAAAAGAAGATAACAGGACTGATTACTAGACTATATTTTGCTGAAAAAGCAGTAAGTATACCTAAATGATATAAAAGGTAAGGTAAAACAGTTTAAAGACTTATTTTAACTACATTTTAAATAGTTTTTTTGTATGATTGATATTAAATTTTTTCCATCGAGTATATGAGTTGATTCAACTTTAATCGGAATATGTCATTTTTGCAGTATATTACACTATCGTCTACTTGGCTTTGTAATTTTTTTTACTATTATGTAGTTTACGAAAATAAACAGTTACCTAAAAGGACGGTAATATGAGATGTCTGAACAAAACGTTTGATTGTTTCAAAGTTTTTCCCTTCTGAATCCATTTTTGTTATAAATTTGTACTTAACAGAATTATTTCTCTGTTATTGTGTGGTGTATTATTTTTTCGCATTTGTTTTAAAAGGGAGATGGAACACAACGCTGTCCTCAATTATCCCAGTACTCTTAATATACTTATAATCCCATTAAGTGGTAATTCGTCCGATAGTGATCCGTCACAATAAGCACGTTTCCTATTTTAGTCCTAGTTTTTCATAAAGTGTTCGGTCTATTTTTCAGTTTCATTGGAGCTTTGGTCAGTTTTTTTTTCTATTATTATATTAAAGGGTTTGATGCTGATTTTATTTTTCATTGCCACAAAAATTTGTTGGATTCTTTTGTTTAAGATACATTGTACAACATTTTTGACAAAACAGAAACAGAACGAAGGATAGAAAAGAATGATGTAATTATACTAACACCTTTTATTTTTCAGATGATGACACAATTCAAAAAATTTCACAGAGGAAATTTTGTTCCAGTAATAAATTAGTTTGTTTACTTACCTTATAAGATGGTGGAATCTACTATCGGTAGTCTACAAAGTACGTCCAAAGTAATTTGAAATATTTTAGTGTGTGATATCCTATCATTAAATTTTAAGACGAAAACTTCATGTAAACATTGAAAATCATTATAGATCTATTAGATATAGATTTATAATCGAATGATTATTATACTAAAACCTATTGTGTAAATAGTTGCAGTGTATTAAGGTTGTATAATTAGCAGGAAAAAAATTACAAATAAGCCAAAAATTTGTATTTTTAAATAAATATCTTTTAAAATTGTAGTTTGAAATTGTATCTTATATTAACAAGTCGCCATTTTAATTAATTATTTTATTAATTTAATCAATAACCTTTGAAAATAATTTGCCAACGTCGCGTCGGAAGCATTATTTAAAGCACAGTCAGTCAATGTTCTTTCTTGGGGATAGGGAAAAGGATTCTTTATTACGATAGGGATAGAACATTTCTTGTGCCCGTTTAGGATCGGTTGATCCTCTTCAGGCTTGAGTTTGAATGTGTTGTTATAATACAGTTCAAAAGCAAACAGTCCTAGAAACCACTGGGGTGTTAGCGTTCTTCTTCTTCATCAGGAACAGGAACTTTTTAGGTTGTTTTGTGTGTTAGAAGGGGGGCCGTTGATAGTTCTGATGGTAAAGTTCCTGTTGAGAGGGTTTATTCTCTCGATAATTGGTGTGGTGTTTGCCGTTTGATGGATTTCACGGGATGGGAAGCGCCAGCGTTTTCTGCACGCACTACGCAGAATTCTGCGCTCCGCAGCGATCAGTCTTCTCTTTTGATAACCTTTTTGAAGGCAATATAAGTTTGCTTTATACTCAATAAGGGGTCGAATAAATGTTTTATAAGTGTTGTATGAGAGTTTTGGTGTGTGTTCTGCCAAATGTTCCTGTAAGTGGTACTAGGAGTCGGGCTCGATTTCTGACCTTATCTAAAGTTGCCTTTAGATCAGGTTCCCAGTTAAGTGTTCTAGTGAATAATACACCTAAGTAGGAAGCTGTCGAGCTATGTCGGGTGAAGCGCGCAACAGACATAGCTATATAGCTAATACAACAAAACAGACCCCCCCCAAACGAATTGAGCCGGCTGATGGGCTGACTGAACGGCAGAGAGCGAATTAAGCCGTGCCAGAAGCAACATCTTCAGTTTCGATGCTCTCAAAGTCTATCAAAGTATCCACACACAGATTTTTATTTAGTTTAATGGATTTAGTTAAATGTTAAGACATGATGTTATGAAGCATATTGATAAACAATAAGGGGATTTGCAATATTTAAACATTGGGTATCTGTAAGCACGCGGTCTTGTATAATCAGCGTGGATTATGTATTTAAGCGACTTATAATAAATAGATAGAAGGATTTGATAACCATGTGCTGTCACAGGTAGAGTGTAGAAATCGACTAAATTATGATTGTTAAGTATCAGAAGAAAGAAAAAGTATCATCTATATTTTTTGAAAGTGCAACATGAAGAATGGGTTGCGCTAGCATAGCGAAAGTTTAACTGCTTAAAAGCTTTCCTCCACTTATCCTTGCGTATTAAAAATAGTATTCTTCAAATCCGTCAAGGATGTGTTCCGCTGGTGGTATAAGAAAAAGTATAATTGAAAAATGGCCTAAACATAAACATCCTTCTTTTGTGTATACCAGCAATAAACAAGTAATTTAGTCCTTGTGTAGTTACTTGTGTAACAAGTATTTAGAGCATAGTGTACAATAGTATTCACTTATACTATTTAAAGTATGGACGATGAGGCTTGAATAGGCGTCTCGTTTCTGATACACGACTTACCAAACAGCCCTTCCAGTCAAAACTATGGATAGCTTAATGAGAATAAAAAAAATCGAGTCAAAATCGTAGAGTCTCTTACTTGTCAATATAGAAGAACACGAAAGAACTGCCGAAATTCTGCATAGATTCATAAGTTCAAATAAAATCAAAACAAAGACTGAGTATTTTATAATTTTTATTGATATCTCTTTTGTATAATTTGTCTGGATTTTGGCAGATGACAGGCAGACACATTATGCAACTTGTCGTCTGCCTCTGTTTTATCGATTTTTATCTTAAGCCTCTCCTGGATCTCTTCCTTGGTAAGCGCGAATTGCAGTACATCTATGACATCACTGACATGCTCATGTTCAACACACAACGGACAAGGATTGGTGGCGACGATTCTCTCGATAGGTTCGATCATAGGTGGACATTTTACGTGCCTTAAAGTTGTTACTTTAGGTTCCTTGTGTTTTGTTTTTTCCAACTGAAAAAGAAATATTTTTATTTAAGAGTTTTGGGCAAATAAAAGAAACGACAAATAAAAATCTAACAATTGAAGAAAAATGGAATGAAGTGGACAAGTCTACTTCATTCTCCCTTTTTTTAAGAATTAACAAACCATAATGTTACATTAGTTTTCTTATACTTTTTTGCTGCTATGGGAAGGGAAGACTTACTAGCATAGAGATTTAAGTAGCATAGCACAAACTTTCCTATGTATATGTGTAGAGGATAGTATATCCTTTAATAGTAAAATGCTTTTGCAAGTTGTCTGTTTCAATGACTAGGTAACCCTTATTAATTTTTTTAATTACAATCCATCAAATTAAATGGCGGGTTTGTAGACGGCTATACAAATGAAGATTGGAGAAGAAAAGATATAAGATAAGAAAGAAAAAACATACTCTGAACAATACAAAACATGGATCTTATCATTGTGTTTTAACCAATTTTTAGGAAAAGGAAAATAAAATATACATACAGTTTGGCTTTCTTTGAAATTGACAGAAACCATTGCCTCTTCGATATTGTTTTCTAAAATTTCCAGATACAGCAGTACATTATAATAATGTATGTTTTGGTTTTCACCTAAAATCAATGTTAAGATTACACATAGGTACCTACACGAAGTTTAGGTTAGGTATATTCTATATCCTCACACCGTCAGCTAAATACTCAGAAAACCTGACCAAAATTATATACAATGTATTATAGTCACTGCAGTAGCTTTTAGAATAAAATACCTATATAGTGTCCTGAAGCAATAGAGAAGAAACATTATATGTTTGTCATGTCTCTGAATATTGTTCTGAAGCTATTTCCTTGTAGCATCTTATAATTCAATATAATCCACCATTTTTGTTGAGAATAAGCCACAGTTTTAATTTAAGTTTACTTTTTTTGAGCCCTTCTCTCTATTGGATTGCCGAATATCTTCTTCTTCAAGCGCCATTTTCGTTCCGAAGGTTGGCGATCATCAGGCTATACGTATTTTCGAAACTGCTGACCGAAACAATTCGTTATTGCTACAGCTATACCATTCCCGTAGATTATTTAGCCAGGAATTTCGTCTTCTCCTATGGACCTTTTTCCTGCTATTTTCCCTTGCATAATTATTCGAAGCAGTTCATATCTTTCGCCTCTTGTAATGTGTCCCAAGTATTTGCAGTTTTCGTTTTTTGATCGTAAATATGACTTCCTTTTCTTATTCATTCTTCTCAAGACCTCTGACATTTGTGACACTCTCGGTCCATGATATTCTCAGGATTCAGGATTGCCGAATATAGGCCTCTCCTAATTATCGCCATTCATCTCCGTTGTTTGTAAGATGTTTCCACATTGGTCCTGCAGTTCTTTTAATATCATCGCTCCAGTACATTTGCGTCTTCCTCATGGTCTTTTGGCTTCATATGGCCGCCAATTTCCGATTTCTTTATTCCATCTGCCATCTGTAAGACGTTTCTTATGTCCAGCACATTTCCATTTCAATTTAGCTGCCTGCTTGACAGCATCTTTTACTTTTGTTCTATTACGAATTTCTTCATAGCTCTCTGAGTTTTTCTGATCTTCTCCATGTTTATTTTAGTGAATGTCCAGGTTTAAGCTCCATATGTAAGTACAGGTAGGATACAGGAATTAAACACTTTGGTTCGCAATCTTTGAGGTATATTTTTATTTTAAGTACGTATGAGAGTCTTCCGAATGCTGCCCATGCCATTTTTACACGTCTGCTTAATTCGGTAATCTAATTTTCTTTGTTTTGCCTTGACATTTTGACCCAGATATGTATATTCATTTACGTATTCTATCTCTGTCCCTTGGATGTTTATCATAGGTTTGTCATCTTTATTTGACATAAGTTTAGTTTTGCTGAAATTCATTTTCAGTCCTTTTTTTAGTGATTCTGTTTGTAGC